CGGGGGAGGGCGGGGGGTTGCCGGCGGCGAGGTGCGGCGGAGGAGGGCCGATCGGCGGGGAGAGGGGTCGAGGATTCGAGGAAGAGGAGATTGGCGTCGGGTTGAAGCAGATGCGGTGGTGATGTTGATCCGGGGCGGGGGGCAGGGAATCCAACGGAAAACTGTGGGGCGGCGATGGCCGTCGGATCGGGGAGATCCGGGGATCGACGGCTGAGGGGGCCTCAGCGGCTGGTGCGAGGAGAGGGGAGCGATTTGATGGCATGCCTTGTTTGGATCGCGGTTTCACTTGTTGATTATGCTAATTTAGTGCGTAATTTATTGTTTGGATCGCAGTTACACTGATCAACGCGCGCACGCTTTTTCGCCCTCTGGCGCGGACGGCGGCGGCGAATAGAAGAGGGAACCGGGAGGGAGGTGACGCCTCGTTGTTTACGGCGGCGGCTCCTCATAACCGGCGAAAACTCACGGGGAGATGGCAATCATGGCAATCTGCCTCAGTTTTGTTTTATAAAAACGTTCGCATTCGCCACCCCTCTCGATGGACGTTAGCTGAATATCATTATCGTTGTTTATTGCCCGCCAACACGGCGATGAATAGGAAGGTGGGGAGAGAGAGACGACGTTGTTCTCAGGCCGCGATAGCGATGTCCTGCGGCTAGCAACCCGGTGTCGAACCGCGGCGATGGTCGCACCGACGGCGGCACGGCCCAGGGGTCTGCCGTCGAACAGGGAGGGGGGACCACCACGTGCTTGGGTATAGACTGCGGCGGCGAATAGAAGAGGGAACCGGGAAGGAGGTGACGTCGCGTTTCACCTCATAACCGGCGAAAGTTTGCGGGGAGATGGCGATCATGACAACCTGCTTGAATTCTGTTTGCATCAGAAAATTTCCATGCTTGCAGCAAATAAAAATGTTTGCAATCGCCACCCCTTTTGGTGAACGTTACCCGAACGACATTACCGTTGCATGTTGCCTGCCGACACGGCGGCGCCACCCACGACGTCACGGGGAAGAGAGAGAGACGTTGTTATTTTCGGGCCACGACAGTGATGGCCCGCGGCTAGCACCCCGGTGTCGAACCACGGCGATGGTCGCACCGGCAACGGGGCGGCCCCAGGGGACCGGGCCGCCGCCGAAGGGAAGGGGGGACCACGGCGCGCCTGCGGGGAGCGAGAGGGCGGGGCGGAGGGGTCAAACGCGTTGACGGACGAAAGCGGACGTGTGAGCGAGACGGTCGTCGTTGGCGTGCGCGTAGACATACGATACGGCGACGCGTACGATACGACGGACGATACAGGCAGCCCCGCCCCCCTTCCGTCCTCCCCGTCGGTTTCTTCTCTCCTCGCGCTGCCGGTACAGAGGAGGAGAGGCGGAGGGGCGGGCGCTCGCCGTTCGCCGTCCGCCGCTCGCCCGCCCGCCCAATCCCGCCGCCCGCCGCGGCCCGGAGCGATCCACCGACCGCCCCGCCGACCGACCCCGCGGTCGGGGTGGCCGGAATCGGGGCCCTGCCCTCGCGGGTCCGGTTCGCACCGTTTCTTCCCCGGGCGCGGCACCCGGCGGAGGCCCCGATCTGTATCCATCCGTCTCCCCCCGCGTACCACCCGGCGCCGCCCGGCGCGTCCCGCCGTCGCCGTTCCCCGCGCCGACGCCGGCAGCCCCCCGCCCCACCGGATCGCTGCGCCGGCCGCCGCCGCCAGCCCCGCCTCCCGCCCGCGGCCGCGGGCCCCCGTCGCGCGAGGTCGATCTCGCTCGGTACCTTTCGTTTTCCTTGTGCTCGCCTAGTTTAACTGTCGGACTGCTCTATCTGCCTGCCTGCCTGCGTTCACTACTTGTTCTTTACCTCTCTCTGTTTTTGTTAGCTGTGTAGTTGTGCCGTGGAGACAACGATAAATCCTTAACCTGTGCAGTGGTCATTAGCTTCCGCGGCTCGTGATCCCTGTAATCTGTCAACATGCAGGGAACAAGTGGAACCACCCATGCTGGTTTCCTCCAAAAGGGGAAACATTAGTTTCCATACTCGGGCGGCACTAGTTTGTTTTCTGTTAATCGGTAGCCGTTACCGATTGGTCACCGTGCTGCTCCTCGTGTATTCATTAAGCAGCGGTCTCTTACGGTTCTTTATGTGGCTCGGCTGCTCAATGATCAGTAGCCAGAGTAGAAAACAGGGGTGCAGGTGATCTAGGGAAACGCTGGGATTTTCTGGTGCGGAAAATGAAAATCCCAGAGAAGGGATGAAATCTCTTAGATGGACAACTGCTGAATCCTGATTAAACATTTCTTTTGGTGGCAAAATGTTGAATTTAATCATGTATAGCACATCCTTTGTTGAATTGAATCATGTATAATAGCAGCACATCCTTAAGTCCTACTCTTCAAGGTGTCATATAACATACTACCTACCTTCCTAAGCTTGAAGTTCTGAAAGGGTGCTGTTAGTGATAGAAAACTTAAGCTTTAAGACTACCTTTTGATAAGTTGGATTGGCTTTGTGGGGATCCTTGCTTGATCGTTGTCCATCATGCTAGCTTTTTCTGTGACCTAGATGGTTATTTACTGGTTAGCTGGGTGAGGGCATTTTAAGCAGTTGTGCATTTTACAAGATAAGCGATCTACATTAAGTTGACTAGCTTTGATGATTGTTTGCCATCCTTGAGCATCGATTCTGTCTCCCGCAAATTGTAGCTACCGTTTCTGTGTGTCCTAACATTATCAGTTGATTGCAGATATCGGTGTTCCTTCATTGCCATTTGAGAAAATATGGGTTGGTTGACCAAATTTTTTAGAGGTTCAACCCACAACATCTCGGAAGGGCCAGAACGAAGCAGGCCTGCAGAAGAGACAAGATGGAATGAACCCTCCACTTCCACTGTTGTGATTGTAAGTACTTCGGTGTGATACACTACCCTCTCAGCAAAAAGGGTTCAACGGTGTTCCAATGCGCGATGCACTACCCTTGCCATTTTATTTAACTGAATGGGCAAAGGAGACACGTATGAATTGAGCTTTACGGAAGCTCTAATTGCACCCATGTATATAGTAAAAGGATATTTCACTTTGCTGCGCACTCTGTTTATAAGTTATATGCCACTGTAATACATGTATAATTACCGTTCCCAAATATGCTACATATATATACGTATATGAAGTCTTGACCACTCTTTTTTTTATAGTGGGCGTTATGTCTATGCAAAAAGTTCCGAAATTACAGATAATCTCCCTCGAAACTGCAACTACCGTATTATCCTTATATAACAACAAGACTTACAGCACTTCCATCACAGATTAATGAATGTTAAACCTTGTTACTGATGCAAGGAGCACGCATCAGGGGAGATACAAATCTATCCTTGACCAACCGCAATAGATGCTTCACCTTTAATCGTGTGATAGCTTGTGCAACTTAGATTGCAGCACCATGCCTTTGATGGAACTGGTGATTGCAAGTGGTGGTGTATTCACGAGCTCCACACAGGTGCAGTTCGACTTGCTGGCATTGCCATTCATGGCTGCTGGTCTCGACAAACCAGATATCCATGAGATGTGGTGGGCAATAGAGACAGTGGACCCCACCAGGCCCACTCCTTACGTGCTGCTCACGATAACAATTCTTGCACACCTCTGATGCTCACCATCTGCCAGATTTAGTGTTTTTAAGGGGTCTGCAGGTTCATTATATATTTAGTTCTAGTAAGTTGGAGGTGCATAGATGCAATTGCTCCTTGTTGTACAACACATCATTACCATCAAAGAAAGGCCATCTTATTTGTTGTTTATCTGTCTCACTAAATGATATTAATTATTTTCCATCTGCCGTTGGTAAACGTACTTTGACTGACATGTGTCCATAAATATATGAACCCCAATTTCTTGAGTGTTTTTAAGGGGTCTGCAGGTTCATATATGTAGTTCTAGTACTTTGGATGAGCATAGATGCAATTGCCCCTTGTTATAAAACACATCATTACTCTCAAAGGAAGGTCACCTTATTTGTCGTTTATCTGTCTTACTAAATGATGCTACCTCTGTTCACTAATGTAAGATGTTTTGGCAGTTTAAATTGAACTGCCAAAACGCCTTACATTAGTGGACAGAGGGTGTATTAATTGTTTTCCATCTGCCGTTGGTAATTGTACTTTGGCTGAGATGTATCCATAAATATATGAACCAGCTAATTTCTGTGTGACTATTCCTCTAAATTCTCCTTTGAGCGCTAATTAATTTGGAATATACCAAGCTTATATACTGTTATGTTGGTATTTAAAATTTATGGTTAAAAGGAAATAAAAACCATTTCTTTGACTATGTAGCTGATCCAGTTTCCGCACTTGATGTAGGATCCCCTTTCGGAATTTGATAATGAGGATATTGACCGTGCTATAGCACTTTCTCTATTAGAAGAGGAACACAGAAAACCAAAGGAAACAGGTTAGTATTGTATCTATTACGCGTGCTGCTGAAATGCTCATTGCCCAGAAGTGTGCTTTGTCATCGGTGTTTATCCTCTTATATTTTTCTTATTCCTTGATTTCTGCTGAGGTTCTACTACTACTAGTACTAGTACTACTACAAAAGTTTTTTGGGCTAGTTTATTGCAGATTATTCTTGGCATTTGTTGTTTTGGAGCTTGGTTGATCTTTACTAAGTTGCATGTTTGAATAAGAATGCAGTCAGACTTACCTAGTTTTTAATGGACAAACTTTCTTATAGATGTCCTTAGACTGTGGATGTAAGTAAAATCCAACAGAGCATAAATAATTCCATATTGTAATAAGGCGTGTGGCTAATGTTTTTTCTTCTGGCAACTACTTGATCGATATAAGTAGTTTATTTCTCATATAATTTGAAGAAAATTGTGGTGCAAATTCTATTGCTCTAGATGTAGCAACCAAAATTCCTGGGATAAACATTTGCATATATTCGTTACTGTTGTTTTGGGCTGTGAGTTAGATTGCTGAGACATGACACCGTAGTCAGAAGTAAAAATGATGTGTTGTTTGGATGTTCCTATCAAGCTATCCAAGCTCACTGTATTCTCCAGTCTTCCATTGCCTTCTGACCGTACATTTGAAATGATATTTAGTTTGTAATACTTTCTTGTTTATTTGTTTTTTCCTTTTAGGAAAGGATCTGCATTTAGATGAGGATGAACAACTGGCAAGAGCTATTCAGGAAAGTTTGAATGTTGAATCACCCCCTCGTGCTCATGAAAATACCTCGCCCCCTCGTGCTCGTGAAAATAGTGCACACCCTCGTGCTCGGGAAAATGGCAGCGCCAACGGTGGCAATTCATATCAACAATTACCATTTATGTTTTCGTCTGGATTCAGGTTTGTATTAGTGTATTACTTTAGCATGCTAATATTTTATTTGTATGTTCTGTTTTGAGTTGATTGATGTGAAGTGACACACATTTGAACTGCTATGAGAATTAACCAGAAAGAAAGTATTATAAGTAAAATCCAGATCCATAGAAGCTGTCTTCTAGACATACTATGATGTGAACATGTCATGTTGACGTTGGTAATTCATTCCCTGAATATCGTATTTTGTTTTAGAGTTTCACATGATCATATCAGTGATAATGTGTATTGCATGAGAACTTATAATTTGAGTCTGCATATCCGCTAGGAAGTTAAAAGGCCACCCCCCAACCCCCAACAATGTTTTCTGAAAAAAGAAGTGCAGCCTGAGCAGTTTTTCTCTGAATTTTGAAATTTATGCATTTAACTTGTACAATTTTTCGGTCCTTCATACACTGATTCAAAATGTCCTTAGAAAAAAAAAACCAAACTGTGGTTTGAAATGGGGAGCTCCAGCATAGACGTGAAAGGAAAAACTCGTCAGACTTGATTTGCCACTGTCTTTATTCGATAAACCATTTCATGTGATTATTGAAGAGCAGAAAGATACCATAGGGTGCGATACTGTAAATTATATCTTCACATGAAGTGTCTTGGGTGTGTGAAATATGCTGATGCTGTCAAAAGAAAAGAACAAGATACCTGGTAAAAAAACGAGAGTGTATAATTTGTTTCTTAAAGCATGCCAGGAGAATGTTGTGTTGGTCCAGAACACTCTGTGATTGCAAGCAATTATGGGAGTTATCTGTGCTCTGTGACTATTTGACGTTATATATGCTTCTTTTCTCAGGACATGTGCTGGATGTAACAATGAGATTGGCCATGGACGTTTTCTTAGTTGCATGGGAGCTGTTTGGCATCCAGAGTGCTTTTGCTGCCATGCTTGTAATCAGCCAATATATGACTATGAGGTAGCTCTTTGTTGTTTGGTGTACTAATTAAGCAGTTGCATTGATATATTGACCTTACCAACAAAAACATGCAGTTCTCCATGTCAGGAAACCATCCATACCATAAAACTTGTTACAAGGAGCGCTTTCACCCAAAATGTGATGTCTGCAAGCAATTTGTAAGAATCACTTCATTATCTTTTCTGATCCGTTTGCATAAGACGATTCACTTTGTTCTGCATTTTATATGGCAACCTTTGCCACCAAAAAATAAACTAATACTCCTCCAATCCAAAAATAATGTGTTTATTGGACGAAGTGATTTATTTTCTTTATGGTTGCAATGCTTCATCTGTCCTCATTTATTGCAATTCTGTAAGCCTGGAAGCATGTATACAGTGACAAAATTCTAAATATCTAGTTTAAGTTTTTGTTTACCGTCTTTGATTTTGGTTTTTATGCACCATCTTGTGGTTCCTTGTTCAGATTCCTACAAATATGAACGGCCTTATCGAATATAGGGCACATCCTTTTTGGTTACAAAAATACTGTCCATCACATGAGGTGGATGGTACTCCAAGATGCTGTAGTTGTGAAAGAATGGAGGTATGTTCAGTTATCTTGTTTGCTTCAAGAATTTTGATCTTGGGCATACTTGGTTAGATAAGTTGCCGTCTCCTAATTTTGGCTCAGTTCATTCCAATATGGTTCATTTACTTATCAGCCAAGGGAATCAAGATATGTATTGCTTGATGATGGTCGTAAGCTCTGCCTGGAGTGCCTTGACTCTGCAGTAATGGATACGAATGAGTGCCAGCCTCTTTACCTCGAAATACAGGAATTTTATGAAGGTCTCAATATGAAAGTGGAACAACAGGTTCCTCTGCTTCTTGTAGAAAGACAGGCTCTAAATGAGGCCATGGAGGGAGAGAAAACTGTATGTTGGTTATGCTGAACTGAACCACCATTAATTCTTCAGTTTCCTCTATCCTACTAGTTGTAATTATTTTGTTTCTGTGGAAACCAGGGACACCACCACCTTCCTGAAACAAGAGGTTTGTGCCTATCAGAAGAGCAGACTGTTAGCACGGTGAGAACTGTTCCAAACACAAGATAACTGGTTCTTTCATCATTTGTTCTGCTGGGTTCTGACTACGTAACAATATTATTTTCAGATATTGAGAAGACCAAGAATGACTGGAAACAAAATTATGGAAATGATAACAGAGCCGTATAGGTTGACACGGCGGTGCGAAGTGACTGCAATTCTCATTCTGTATGGTCTCCCAAGGTAAAAGCATTAATTTTCTGCTTCATAATGTCAGAATTGTCCCTGTAAAGAAATAACAATGTCAAAATCAACAGCTTCCAGTTGAAAAGCAATAGAAACAGTTACTAATATAGTTCTGCTTCAACTGATTTAGTATATTGTTCCTTTTGTGTTGTCAAAGAAGATATGAATTAATGGATAATTTGAAGATATTCTGGGCTACGAGTTTAATCAAGGGAACTAATGAGCAAAACCAGTATGTTGTGCTTCATCAATGGATATTCTCCTGTTACTTAAAGAATCGCTCTCTCATGATCTGCATCTTTTGTTGTTCGAACCTGATGAACTCTGAATGTGTTTCTATGACTTTGCGAGTCTCTAATAAGTTCTTGTTCTTGCAGATTGTTGACAGGTTCAATTTTAGCTCATGAGATGATGCATGCATGGTTGCGACTTAAAGGTTGTCTTTCATTCTTCTGGTATTTAGATATTGTGTTGGTAATAAGATATGATACTGACTCGTAGTGCATGGAAGTTGGAGAGTCAGAAATAACTTGCTAAATACCACGTCTTCGCTCTCACTAAACAATTTTTTAAGCTAATCAACAGGGGGAGAGTGTGTTCCCGCCTGAATCACTAAAACAGTTTAGCAACAGCCATTGAAGTGGTATTAAATTGTACTGTTATGAGTCAATGGAGACCTGGTCTTTAATATTATGCACTTTATCGCTAGTGCTTTGCTCACAGTAAAGACTAAAGGTCTCGTTTCAAGATTTTTACCAGAAGTTGCGATTCTCTTTTTGTTTAGCAAGCTTGTACAAGCCTGGTGAGGGATGACAAAGAGTTTTCCTGCCAGGGCCAGAATCTCACATTCTGCCGCGGCAACTGAACTTAGAACCAAGAATTAGCAACTGAATTTACTGAACTCCTCACTTAGATCTTCAGGGCTTGAAGTAGTGCTATCTTGCTATGAGACTTTGTACAACCTGCTGGTAATCCCATTCAAGAAATCAATAATCACAAGTATATTAGCAATGACAAGACAATCAACACTAATTTATCTACCAAGAAAAGTTTGCATCAGCTTATTATACCATTTATAAGTATCTACTCCCTCCATCTCATAATGTAAGACGTTTTTTGACACTACACTAGAGTCAAAAAACGTCTTACATTATGGGACGGAGGGAGTACTGTCTAATGGAATAATGAAGATGGACATTCCATGCTAATGAGTACGTGCATTCACAGGATACCGCACTCTCAGTCCAGATATAGAAGAGGGCATATGCCAAGTCCTCGCCCACCTGTGGATCGAGTCGGAGATCATGGCAGGATCAGGCAGCAACGCCGCGTCGACATCCTCATCCTCTTCGTCGTCCGCATCGTCGAAGAAGGGCGGAAGGTCTCAGTTCGAGCGGAAGCTCGGCGACTTCTTCAAGCACCAGATCGAGTCGGACACCTCCGTTGCCTACGGGGACGGTTTCAGGGCTGGGAACCGGGTTGTTCAGCAGTACGGCCTGAAGCGCACCCTCGAGCACATCCGGCTGACAGGGACATTGCTGTTCTGAGAATGTCAGAGATGCACCTTTCTGCGGAAGTTATATACCGATTTGTTGTCGAGAGTCCGTTTACAGGAAAGAGAAAATGAATTTTGAAATGCACAAATTGTACAAACGTGTGGCTGATATTTTTTCTTGGAAGGGCTGAGCACAGTATATTATTAGAGATGCATCGAGGTGGCTTGCCCTGACCAATCTGTTGTATTGAGGGAGATCAAAAATGGAAATGGAAACAGTGGTATTTCTTATGCGACGATAAAGTTAATAAGGAAAAGTACACTCCGTATATATGTCGTGGCCTCGAGGGTGATATTTGCGCGTCATCTTTTAAAAAGGCGGAATATACATGTATCTTGTAATGTTAAAAAGGCGGAAAAAAGATAAGGCTATCTTGGGTAACTATTTGTCCCCTCTACAGCCTACCCAATAGATAAATAGTGTTAAGCGTCCCTGGTCACCTGGCAATGTCCTATTCTGTAACTTGATACTACGTACTCCCTCCGTCCCAAAATTCTTTTCTTAGGTTTGTCTAATACTCTTGTCAGGATTCTGCAATCTTAGCAACAACCGGAATTGGTCGTCATTGCAAACTACTAGTAGTTGATTGTCACTCATTTGTATAGCTAGGCTGAAGGTTTTTTCACATGAAAATTGCAATTATGGAACTCTATTCCTCCTCATCGTCATCAATGCCATTTTACTCCCTCCGTTCCAAAATAGATGACTCAACTTTGTACTAACTTTAAATATAATAAATGCCATACAAAAGGAAAATTCTTACACAAATGGTTTATTTATTTAACAGGCATGACTGGAACAGACAGTATCGATTAAAGTTTACAAGCCCACACGGATAGAATACACACAATAGTTGGACGCACAAATTCACGCAAATGGTTTAGTTATTCAACACGCACGGCCGGAATAGACAGTACCGATCATAGTTTACAAGCTCACATGAATAGAATACACACAATAGTTGAACGCATTAACGCGTAAAAACTGATCGAGTAATTCAGTCTTGCGACACAAGCAGGATGTGTCTTGTTATTTCAACGCCACAGACGAAATCAGTAGGAACTCTGAATATCACACTTCACAAGCAACCAATATAGCAGCCCAGTCTTGTACAGCAGCAGTAGAACAGATATCGAACCGAGGCGCATATATCTTCCTTTTTCTATGGCGGCCTACATATATAACCAGCAAAGGTGTTCAGTGCACTAATTAACATGCTGAGAGTGATATAAGTGATAAACTGATAATGCTATTTCACAGTCGAGAGGGATCAACTTACATGCAAGTTATGGGAGAATCACCGGTCATCATCGTCGTCGTCGTCGCGGAGAGTGTGTTGCCATTGCGTACAAGCAAGTTGAGGACATTGGTACAACAACTTGAGGAAGTCGCGAGTAATTTGGAAGAAGCCTAGATACTGGAGGGGCATGAGAAACTCAAGGCCAGGTGGGACCTCCGCCATGCTGTTTAGGCTGCCTAACGTAAATGATTCCAGGGTCGCCATGGCACCTAGCTTTATCTCTAGTCGCTTCAGGTTAGGCATGTCTCTTAGAGAGAGATGCTTCAGGTTGGGAAACCATCCCGTGAGAAACGTCAGCTTCTCTCCATTGTATGCTCTAAAGAAGTGAAGAACTGTCAAATTCACCAACTGGGAAAGGGATGGCAAAGGGTCTTCTCTCAACTGCGACCAAGACAGGCGTAGTGAATACATGTTCTGCTCCACACCTTGAAAGAGAGTAGACCCCCTCGAAAGTGTCCCTTCCGGCAATCTTCCGTTCAACCTTAACTTTTGCAGGCTAGTCGGGAGGGTGTTCAACATGAGAACTTCATTCTTGTCACTTGCACCCACATATAGGTAGGACAAAAATGGCATCTGCACCAGAGACTCGTGGAGGTGTTCACAGTAGATTCCCTTCACATTGCATATCTTCAAGCTTCTGAGTTGCCTTAGCTCCGCTAGTTGCTTAATGGATTCATCTTGCACTTCCAACGCTTGTAGAGTCTGCAGGTTTGTTAGGTTCCCAAGCCCAATGGGGATGCATACACCACTGCTAAGTCGAAAGTCTCGTCCTGACACAGTTTCTTTCTCAGCAAACAAGTGCCTAAGCTTCTTCAACTTGACAATCCCTCTAGGCAACTCATGTATGTCAGATCTACAGAGGTCCAGTGTCAACAGATTCAAAAGCTTCTCGATGGATTTTGGGAGATACCTCACTTTTGAATCCCGCAAACCCAAATGGCGGAGATTAAAAAGATCACCAATAGCATTGGGAATCTTCTCAATAGGTAGGCCAGTTAATTCTAGCACTGTCATATATCTTGAATTCTCAGATATTAGAGGTAGCAGGGTTAATGGCGGCATGCTTTTGTCCAGTGTAATGAAAGTTCGAAGTTCATGTATGCTAGAAAATGAATGACGAATATCCTTCTTTAGTTTGTGCACTACCAATCTCCGTCCATCCCTATGAAGAGTACCCCCGCATATATAATCCTCAGATTTAACACCAAAACGATAGTTCTGGCACAAATCAACTGCCAATTCACGTATGATATCATGCATTCTGAATCTTTTCATCCTACCAAATGCATTCCTGCGAACAAGTTGTAGCATGTTCCTGTTAACCAACTCCTTCAGATAACCTTCTGCCACTTCTTCTAATGTGCTTACACCCCTCTCCACGATGAACCCCTCCGCCGTCCATAACCGTACAAGAGTTTTTCTGCGAAAAAGATAGTCTTCTGGAAATAGGCTGCAGTACAGGAAACAACTCTTCAAGTATGTTGGAAGGTAGATATAGCTCAGATGCAACACATTCCTTATGTGGTCGAGCCTTGAGTTATTAAGTATCTCCCAACTCAATTGGTCATTTATTCTTTTCCATTCTTCAACGGTTTTCTCACGCACATGCAAGAGGCTGCCAACTGACACAATAGCAAGAGGCAATCCTTTGCACTTGCTAAGTATTTCCTCGGACAAAAGCCTCAACTCCTCAGGACAGTGATGGTTTGTTTCTTTTGGAAAAGATTTCTTACAAAAAAGATCCCAAGCCTTGTCTTCTGGTAAAGGTTCAAGTGTTAATATGTGTCCTTGAGAAGCAAGTGCGGCAACATCACCCTGCCGTGTTGTGATTATCAATCTGCTTCCCTTACCATTACAAACAAGTGACCTAGACAGGTCTTCAAATGCATCTGGAGTCCAAACATCATCTAATATGATCAAATACTTCATTTGCCCTAGATACCTCTTCAATGTCTCTTCAAGGCTTGTGATATCCATCGCTGCAATGTTTGATGGACCACTGACTTCATTTTTGAATAATTCCTTGATTATATTCCTCAAGACATCTTCTCTAGAATAAGTTTGAGAGATGGAGACCCATGCATGGCACTGAAATTTCTCTCTCTCTTTCCTATAGACATTTGATGCTAAAGCTGTTTTGCCCAGCCCACCCATTCCTATCAGTGTTATCAGGGAACGTTCCACATCGTCACTTCCCAACCATTGCTCAAGTTTTCCTCTATTTTCATCCACCCCAACTAGATCTTCGTCATCAAGGGAACGTGAGATGTTTGCTAGATCTTGAGACTTCTTGACCATGTAATTCAAGCTGCCAGTATCTTCATTGTTTATCATGGGAACCCATCGGTATTTCATCTCTGACAGGTGTGCAAGGTCTTTCTCTATTTCCTTCACTTTGGAAGATATCTGATTCAAGGAAAGCAGAGATCTTGGTTTTCTAAGCCCTTTCTTCAGGTAGAAGCAACACCCAGTATCATGTTCCCGGCCAACTTGATACATGTACTCATCCACCATATCCTCCATCGCATGTGCTACCTTCCACACCTCATCCAACCAGCCCTCATACACTTGATTGTGGCGGTTTCGAATGTCCATTTGACATAGAACATCATGAATTATACGAAGCTCCCTAACAACGCGGCCCATGCTGCCCTGTAGCTCTATTAGTTGGGTCCCATACTTGGAAAAATGAGCACTCGCCTGATTTGCTGCTCCATTTGCTAAGGCGATTACCATCTTTTCAATGACTAGAAGAAGAACAATTTCAGCCATTACTTTCTCTCGGAGAGTTGCTAATGCCTCACTGTTGGTTGGAGGCCTAGGTGCATATTTTCCTCACTGTCTCTAGGTGACCATCTGCATAATAAAGCGATAGCTGCATTAATTTAACTATTTTCATATATTTTAATAATAGCAAGCACGTGCCAAAAACTTTGCAGGAACAGCTGAAAAGTGAAATTAAGTAGAACCTCACAAATTAAGCAACCCTCTTACTTCATATTTATACCCACAAATAATAAGAGTTATTTTACGGTACATCTTACTACAGATTTTAAGGTGTAGTATATAACTGATCCAATAGTAATTATGGTTGGATCCAATAGTAATTATGTTGGACCCAAAGTTTGTCTCAAGGAGGGTTTGGTAATTTCCTATTTTCTAACAATGACTGGTTGTGGTAGATTTGTCCTTCCATCTGTAATCAATCCTAATTAATTTGTTCCCCACAACAAATGCTAATGAATCCGTAGTAAACTCTAATTAATCATTCGTATTAATTATTCGCATCTTCATGGGACTACTGCAAACGAGTCTACTATATCAGTAAGCTCCTTAGGATTGGTAGCCTCTCATTTAATTGATGGCATTGGTTTTGGATTGGGTTTCTAATTTTGATCGAATTCTGGTAGTTTTTTTGTGAAACACTCAACAAATCATGTGCTAATTAACAGGTTAAATGTGGCTGTAATTAAAATCGAATTGATGCATGAGTAGGGAGATTTGAAGGTGAAATTCCGAGGAATCGGTGCTATCGTTTCAACATCATTAGGGAATCAACCATCAAAATTCGAGATTTCAACAACTAGCTAGAGTATATATATCCTTCTTTCAAAACAGAATGGGAACACAAGATCCTACCTTCTCCTGTGCCACGGGTGACAGGCTGAGGTGAAGGTGAGGCGGGGTATGCGGTCCGGCGGCACTTTGCAGGAGGCGAAGCGGAGAAGGGACACGTCGACTTCGCAGTCTTCTCGGATTTGTCAGAGGTACCAGACGCTTGTAGCTTTCCGGTGGCCTGCTAGAACTGCTCACTAAATTTGCAGCAAACAGCAGACGGTACAGCACTGAACTGAATCTGTCGTCGGTGGTACGTACCTTGTTCTTATGTGCCGATCAGATCCCCAAGCTCTTGCTTCCCCGAAGATGCGCAATCCTCTTAGAGTTTACACTTGCATCTGCATCGTACATGGTGGACGTTGGTGCCTTGGTGGTCTATAGACGCCTGCTAGCTATAGCCTAGTTGTGCTGGTTTTGGTTACTTGAGCGTACGTATGTAGCATTGATTTGACTTTTCTCCCAGCAACTAGCCCAATAATTGAGTTTATTAAATTGATAGGTTGAGAGTGGTTTCAACAAAAATGGCGTACCTACCGGCAAGTTGGTGCTAATTAAAAGACAAATTGAGGAGTATTTGGGTCAAGCACGAAAATGACAATTGGTGGCAGTGTCTTCACTACAAACAATTGTCGACTTATAGCATGTAGTATCTCTTGCAAAAATAAAACAAGATAGTTACATACTCCCTCTGCAAATAAATATAGGAGCATTTAGATCACTAGTGATCTAAACGCTCTTATATTTTTTTACAGAGGGAGAACTATATATTCACCCCTCAAATTATTGTTAAGACATTTATTTATTGACGTCGAATTGATCAAGTAAATTTGTCCCCCAGAGAAAAGTACTAAACAATCTGCAATACATGCTCATAATTAATCTTGATGCTGACTTTTTTCTTCCAAAAAGTCACCAACATGTCCGTTCAAATATCAAACGACGTACTCAGGCACCACACAGATACATACAATTCATATGTTAATTAAGTGTTAAGCATCATTCGGCAAAAAAGAAAATGCTAAGCGTCCATGGCCATATACAAACGTTCTTTTCTTTAACTAGCTAGCAAAGTGGCCCTCACAAATGCGAGTGCATCATCTTTAGTGCAACAAAAGTGAGTATGATGCAAATTTACAAGATGAATATAGAAAAAAAATGTTGCGCGCAGGCACCATGCATCTATATTTTCTTTTTAATGCAATTTCTTGAGTGAGGCAGAAGTTATGGTTTGACAATACAAAATCATATAATATTATTCATTTTATGTTAGAATGTCATTTTTTCTAAACCGTAACAAATATATAGGAATTCTTGAAATCTCAAAACATACAACACGGTAAGAAGCTCTATATAGCTCATTTTCTATGAAAATCATTGTTTCTACACCTACATAAATCTGAAAAAAAAATGTACATATACATATATGTGTAGTATGTACATACGTAATTTCATCAATATATATTATCATATGTGCAGTATCTTCTCCGGAGAATCGTCGGAGAAGATGCGACGATCTCCTTTCAGAGTTTACACTTGCAAACATGCCCACGTGTCCATGGTGGCTAAGTTGTGCGCTGCTAGCTTGCTAGCTGGTTGCCTCAACGTATGTAGCATATTGCTGTGGCCTTCATTTTCTCCTAAAAACCAGTAACGCAATGACTGAGTCTAGTTTGGCATCTTCGGAGAACACGACGTACCACCTACCGGCAAGTTGTGTGGTGTTAGAGACAAGGAAGACTTGGTGGGTATGTGAGTCAAGCACGGCAATGGGAAGCATCTTCGGGTACAAACAAATCGACGTCCTATTCTGTGCTCCCTGCGGTTCACAAAAAAGTGTCACTTTTTACGTATATAGTAAGTTAAAACATTAAATACTTTGGCCATCCATATCGTTTTTACTATCTAGTATAGATCAGAAACTTAAAAAAAAAATCAGGTGCATAGATTTGTCTCGAGAAGTATTCTTGAAATATCATTTATGTTGGTTGGCCGTTATACATATGTTGCAGCATAAGCCAGTGGCTGAAGACT